GGGTGCGCGTCCAAGGCATCGCGGATGCCTTCGCATTTTTTCTGTTTGTGCGTTTATCTTAGCTCGTAGAGTCGTGGTTTCACCGGGAGAAGTACGGCGGTGAAGCAAGCTTTCCAGTGACACCAAGCTTTCCGCGAGCGGCGGCGAAGGCGCGGAAGTATCGCGCTCGGAAATGGGCCATTTTCGCGCAGACTTCAGCCAGCTTTTTGCGATCCGCGGTCAGAAAAACATTTTTTAAGCTTACTTTGAGATCGTTTTCGGCGGAAATATTTTTAGATATGATAGAAATGGTGATGCAGAATCCAAATCTGCCCTTATCCAAAATTCGTTTTTTTGCGAGAATTTCGCGATTTGATCCCCGCGTCCCCCCTTAAAAATATGTCGCTTAAAATGGGCGCAATGCAAGACCCGATACAGATTCCGTCATTTTGAATAAAAGGCTTGTCATCCCATGAAATGTAGGTCGTCTTGAGATAAAATGATAAAAGTTCTAAAAACCGACTTACAGGAACACCACACTCGGTTTGAAATCTAACAGAGCCAAACAAATCTATGCACTCTTCAACCGCAGGAAGCAACTGATCATGGGGAATAGAATAATACAAATCAGTCACGTCGACTGAAAAACCATAAACATGCTCATCAACACAAGTTTTCACATAATCTATGACTTGATCAGAATTTTTTACAATGAAAGGATCATCAACGTCAAGCCGGTTCAACTGTTCTTGCAAAAAAGTAGCAATCGATTTCTGCCAAGTATCACATTCTGAAACAATTACCCTAAAAGGCATATTGCTCTTGTGAGTCTTTGCATTAAAAAACACTTTTAAAAAGTCATGCTTACTATTTGTGATGCCACCGACAACTCGAGGGAGGTCAAGGTCTTTGCATAGCTTTTTTGCTTCCGATTTAACTTTTTCAATGCGGACGTCTTCGCGAGAGGAGAAAACAGAGCTTATAGCAGTGTGAGCCTTAGAACCAAACAGTCCCAGAGTCAGGATGGCGAAGCCTCCTTCTTTATCAGCGGGAAGGACGGTAAGAGAGTGCTCCTTGAGAAAAGCCTCAACTCTCCTGAGAGGAATTTTGGATCCAGCTGGTCTGTAGCGCGAAACGGTGTCGACGCCTTCTGAGACGGAGTGTGGTTGCTCTTGTTCGGGCACATGGCGCGAAACTTGTCGCACCATGGCTAGAAGTTCCGGTGGAGACGTCTTAGGTTCCACCGCAAACTTGGGCCCGAGGCTTAAAGTCCGGAGGATGTCGGGAGGCACGGTGATCTGTTCAGGCACGTGAACTGTCGGCTTTAGGTCGGTTACTTTTTTGGCGATGCCTGTGCGTAGCACCGGCAATTGTCGAGCCCAGAGGAATTCGGTGCTTTGGTCGGCGAGGCGCTGAAATTGTCGAAGCTGCCGCATGGCCACAGTATCTTCGAGACGATCAAAAAGAAGGGCGGACAGGTATTGTTTATGTAGACGTGCTTGTCTATACCATTCTGCCTTCAAGATTTTGCACACCCTAAGCCCATGACCAACTGAGGGGGCAACGTTGCCGAAAAGGTGCTTGACTTCCTGAGGCATTATCCTGTGGCGAATGCAAAAAGCAAGGGATCGAGCTTGACAGGATGCAAGAGCGATGTAGGCGACTGTGGCAGATGGGTTTGACGATGAACATAAAGAAGGGCCCGTTGTACGAGAAATAAAGTTCAACACTGTCGAAATTTGGGCTTGTTGGTGCATTGTGACGACTGAAAATAGCGCTAAAAAACGAGGACACAAGAAGAGGACACACAGCACAGGCGCTAACTTCCAACATAATGTTTATTACCACCGCACGCTCGCCTATATCAAAAAAAAAAAAAAAAAAAAAAAAAAAAATCACATGACATGAAAGATGCGCACAAAAAATTAATTTCTTAGAAAATACAATTCTTTATCACTAAGCGTAAGAGAGGGAGTGCTGACGCACTTAGACCCCAGTGAAGCGATAGCCTCAGCCTCAATAATCTTTCTAGTAAGCTTATCGAACATTCTCTTGATAACTGTGCATGCATTGAATATCGGCGCGCAGCCGCAGGATTTACAATGTATGGCCAACCAACTCCCCTGGCCGTTTTTCACATTATTACAATGTTCTCTTAATCGATCATTAAGGCAACGGCCCGTCTGTCCAATGTACTCTTTACCACAAGAAAGCGGGATGCGATAAACAACGCATATGATGCAGGGGACATAAACAGTTCGATGCTTCTTACTACACCCTTTGGGTTTTTCGTCACGGTTATGAAGGCCACAAAGGCTGACCAACTTCTTGGGAGCCGAAAAGACAACCCTAACTTCAGAGCGCTTAGCTAATTTCTTTAGGTTGTGCGATATCTTGTGAAAGTACGGTATGACGACTAGGTGCTTCGGTTTCTCGGCATCACGACTCGCTGTACATCCCGGGTTGCGAAGCGTACGAAGCAAGCCTTCTGCAACTGAATCGATTGCTACTTTTTTGCAAGAACAGTTGAACCGGCTTGACGTTGATGATCCTTTCATTGTAAAAAATTCTGATCAAGTCATAGATTATGTGAAAACTTGTGTTGATGAGCATGTTTATGGTTTTTCAGTCGACGTGACTGATTTGTATTATTCTATTCCCCATGATCAGTTGCTTCCTGCGGTTGAAGAGTGCATAGATTTGTTTGGCTCTGTTAGATTTCAAACCGAGTGTGGTGTTCCTGTAAGTCGGTTTTTAGAACTTTTATCATTTTATCTCAAGACGACCTACATTTCATGGGACGACAAGCCTTTTATTCAAAATGACGGAATCTGTATCGGGTCTTGCATTGCGCCCATTTTAAGCGACATATTTTTAAGTAGAATTGACAGATCGATTTACCTACATCTTGATAATCTGAAGATAAAAAAAGTGTTCCGGTATGTCGATGACTATCTTATTTTATTAACTAATGACACGGTAGCGGACGAGGCAGGTTTGGCAAAAATAATTTCACATTTTTCGGAGTGTTTTAAACCCTTGACTCTCACACACGAACTGCCTGAGAGCAATGCCATAAAATTCCTCGATGTCCTCTTCACCTTTCATCCTAACCGCATATGTTGGGCTTACCAACCACGTACGAACAAACCGGTCCTTCCTTACCAATCAGCTCACTCTAAACTAGTGAAAAGAGGCATCATCAGTCATTGTTTTCGTCATGCTTTAAGCAAATCTTGTGAGCACGAAATCGCCAATAGTTTTCATAATCAGTCAGACCGTTTGTTGAAAGCAGGTTATCCTATGCACGTCCAAACTTCAGTTGCAGAAAGCTTGCTTCGTACGCTTCGCAACCCAGGATGTACAGCGAGTCGTGATGCCGAGAAACCGAAGCACCTAGTCGTCATACCGTACTTTCACAAGATATCGCACAACCTAAAGAAATTAGCTAAGCGCTCTGAAGTTAGGGTTGTCTTTTCGGCTCCCAAGAAGTTGGTCAGCCTTTGTGGCCTTCATAACCGTGACGAAAAACCCAAAGAATGTAGTAAGAAGCATCGAACTGTTTATGTCCCCAGCATCATATGCGTTGTTTATCGCATCCCGCTTTCTTGTGGTAAAGAGTACATTGGACAGACGGGCCGTTGCCTTAATGATCGATTAAGAGAACATTGTAATAATGTGAAAAACGGCCAGGGGAGTTGGTTGGCCATACATTGTAAATCCTGCGGCTGCGCGCCGATATTCAATGCATGCACAGTTATCAAGAGAATGTTCGATAAGCTTACTAGAAAGATTATTGAGGCTGAGGCTATCGCTTCACTGGGGTCTAAGTGCGTCAGCACTCCCTCTCTTACGCTTAGTGATAAAGAATTGTATTTTCTAAGAAATTAATTTTTTGTGCGCATCTTTCATGTCATGTGATTTTTTTTTTCTTTTTTTTTTTTTTTTTTTTTGATATAGGCGAGCGTGCGGTGGTAATAAACATTATGTTGGAAGTTAGCGCCTGTGCTGTGTGTCCTCTTCTTGTGTCCTCGTTTTTTAGCGCTATTTTCAGTCGTCACAATGCACCAACAAGCCCAAATTTCGACAGTGTTCACATGGCTACATGTGCCCGCTCTGCAGTGTACCGGACAACTTCGCACACTTGCTTTTGGAATGCCAGTGCCATGCAAACCACGACATGCAACCGAAGCGGGACCAAGCAGCAAGAATGAACGACGTCCACCTAATCAAAACGTGGAAGGCCAAGCTCGTCCTTGAAGACCTGGAAGACCAGCAACAACTCGTCGCCAGAGCCAAGAGGGCAGTCGAAGCCAGAGGGTTTCTGAACTAGGGAACCCTCCCGCTGTAGGGTGATACCGGGCCTCGCTTGGAACACTGTTTCTAAATAAACGTTTATTTCTCTCTCTGTGGCTGCAATTTTGAAAATGTGCCACTGAATTCCGCAAGCGTGGAGTCCTGTCATTTTAGAACAGTGGACATGAGATTCAAGGTCACAGGAATGTCCAATGAGCTTGATGGGAGAGAAAACGGCCTTATCTGTCACAGAGAACACGACAAGTTTGCAGAAGGAAGAGGAGGCTCAGAAATAACATTTGTGCAATGGCATGTAAATGACACGTCTTTTTTTTTTCCTTCCCCTATACAAGCAAGTACTGTAAATTAATAAAACCAAGTGCTGCTGAAAATGTTAACAAAAAAAAAACACACTTGAGCCGTTTTCTTGTTGTGAAGGCCACAAGTTTAATTTTCCGCATAAACATTGGTAAGCAAAACCTGCAGCCATTCCACAGGTGTATTTGGTAATAGGTGATCTAGACAAATAAATACAATTAAACATCTATACGGACAATCAATGGGCCAGCATATTAGCCAGCAGTAACACCATTAAAGAAAGTAGATCTATTAAGTGTTACTATTATGAGAGAAGTGTTTAATCTCTGTTGGAAATTTCTCAATTCTTAGCTTTTCTGGATGACTGCCAAATACAAACACAACTAGTGGCCATTGTCTGAACTCACCAGGGCAAACTTGTTCACTTGGACGTACAGCACTTCCACATCACGGGAGGAGGCACACTCGCCCCTGCCTGCTAGCCTGTGCCACTCGTCCAGGTAGTGCTGCAACCAACAAAGCTGGAACTCGCGGTCTGGATAGAGGGAGCTGTCAAAACGCTCCACACCTGAAAAAAATACATGGTGCAATGAAAGTCAACAATGATGTACAAGTACATAAAAAATTGCCCTCCACAAACTTGCAGCCTAAAGTTACAGGGAAGTACAGAGGAGGTTTCTAATGAAAAAAAAATATATGCCAGCTCCACTGCTGTGAAACGTGAGGAAGTGCATAGCACAGGCGATTGCCGTTTCCAGAGTCGCCACTGTTTGAGAAAAGCTTTGTGTCCACAGCACGGGTTCTCTAGCTGTGCGCTACTTTTTGCTGCACTTTATTGATTTTCTGCTTATTTTGGCACATGCTGTCCACAGCAAGTTCAGTCCGGGTGGTTTCCCCCTAAAGATGCGCAGTGGCTTCGAGGAAGCGTAGAGAAAAGAAAGGGCACTTGCTCACCTGTTGGCACCCTATTTTGCATGGTGCCATAGCCAGCTGCAGGGTTTTTAAATGTTTTTAGCAATTTTAGTTCAATTTAGCGATTACTTCTTGGCTATTTGGTTTAATTATGTTATATTAAGAACTCTTCATTCATTTTAACCTGGGCTTGAGAATTGATAGCCCTGTTATGGCCTGTAGTGAGCTCGTTGCCGCGAGCGTGAACACGAGATGCATAGATGGACAAGCAGCACCCCTGAAGTGCTCAAAACTAGAGCGGTGGGAATAGCAAAACTTTAGGTGCAAAGCAAATTCGAATAGTCAAGTGTGAGTGAAAATAGAATTGAATATTTATCGAATATTTTAAAATGTTTGTCCAATAGTTCGAAGCGAAATTGCAGAAAAACTAGTTGAAAAGCATTCCTAAGCATACTTTTATGAGACAGCAACATGAAAATGTTTCTGCTTGTTAAGTTAATGAATTACTGGTGGAGGGGTGTTTCACAGTTGTCTTATCAAGAATCAGGCAATGTGGAGGCCAAATACTATAAATGGACATGATTTAGTTCGTGGAATTAATCTGTTGCCGAGAACACTTTACACATGAAAGATAAAGAGGCTATTTTTTCATTTTCTCCTGCTCTTTCAACATCGGATGTGGTGGACAAAGGTGCGCTCCCTTCAAGCCTGCCGATCCAAATCAGCCCCGTAAACGTTAAATTATAGAACATCTGAAATTTGGAATGCTAAAAGTTTTTGGCGTCCAATTTACGGGCTTTTAGCCCAAATTTCAAACTCAAAACACTAATGAGCCCTCATCCCTGCCAAATCTGTCATCTCTATGTTGGAACCAGCATTCTTTTTTCATTCTTTTTCTTCTTTCTAGTCAATTATGTGCATCCGTCCAGGAGTCTGAAAGGCAGCTTTTTCACAATGCTAGAGTGTGAAAAGGTGAAAATTCGGAAACTGCCAAACAAAATAATAATTGCTTTAATTTTCAAGCTCTAAATAGCAACTTTTACATGATTCCGCAGTTGAATTCTCTAAAACGCAAGTTCAATGCATACTTTTATGTACGTCACAAATTCTCCATACGGCACAGAAGCGAGGACCTTGCAACAAAAAACGTATTTCAGAACTACGTAACATGTGTTCCACCTCTTTGGTGCGTCCACATCAAACAAATAAAAATATTGAAAATAGAACTTACGCCACCCAGGTGAAAAAAATGAAGTGAGAGCTTTTCCATGCACTCCGTGCTTTTCGCCATCAGCTACAAAACAATTATTTCTAGCAAAAAATACCTTGGACTAGATGGCGCTAGAGTTTTCATGCTGAAAGCAACATTCCCCATGAGTACTTGACAACCGGCATTAAAGACAGCACACATACCGTCACTTGCTTGATCGAAGTTTTTCAGTATGCCGCGAATTCGCGACATTTGGCAGTAAAGGGTTAAAAAATTGATGGGGCCAATTCAATGTTGACTATTTGTTTTTGGGAGTCGAATAGTTTTGAATAGTGAAATTCCAGTGCAAATCGAATCAAGTAGCAAACACTATCAGAAAAAATATTTGAAATTTCCTATATTCGCAGCTCATTTTCGTTTGAGGTTCGAACTCTGGAACAATGCCTTGTAGCTTTGTGCTACTAATCGGTAGGCGGCAACTTTCTTGTTTAAGATTCATACTACATCTTGTGGGATTCTGGAAACAACACATTAGCGATGTACCAGAGACTACAAATTTGTGCAATGTTACATTGCAGACAGCGTAACAAGTACTTTATTCTTGTCACAATGTCCTAAGGATACCTCAAAGGCAGAATTTTCTACCATTCCAGCGACTATAGGCAGCGCAACAGTAGGTCAAAATGGCGGACGAGACGGTGATGAGGCGATCTCGCAAGTGTGCGTGTCTGGACTAGCAAAGGACATCAGGCCTCTTAGTTTCCCTGCAGACTCTACTTTCTCTCGATAAAGAGACGCAGACATGCTTGAATGAAAGAAAAGCAATCGCCCACATAATTTGCCTCACCGCTGGATAAACCAAAAAAAAAGAAGGTGTGGATTGTTGCGTGCCGCCGAAGCCTTACTCGGGCCAATGGTTCACCTCGGGCCCGCTCTGTATCACACAAACTTGTGCGCTCGGCAAGTATCAATTACAAATTACATCACTTACAAGATATTTAAAAAAACGCGAACAAACTTACTGCATTACAAATACAATCGCATATATAACAGATTGTACAGGAACATTTCGAGGCTGTGGAAACTGAACACACGCAGGTTCAGTTTCTACAAGCTGCAAATTATCTTTTTGTGCACTTTTCTTTCTTCACATTTACAGTACTATTATCTTGCATTATATCGGATATACTTTCCTTGACATCATTGTCTGTTAGTTCTAATTAACATTAGGTAATGACACAGGCACTGAGCGTTTAACTCCAAATTACCACATTTCGGTGGGGGCGATATGCAAGAATACTTGTGTAATCATGCCTAAGTGCACAACGAAGAAACACTTCGAGTCCTCGTATACTCACCACATATGTGTAGCCCACAATTCTGATTGATTAGATTGATTTCTATGTGGAGTTTAAAGTAGAAAAACCACCATATAAAATTTAGACCACCTGAGGTACTTTAACATACACCAGAATCTGAGCACACGGGCCTACGGCATTTTTGCCTTCATCAAAAATGCAGCTGCCGCCGGGATTCGATCCAGCAACCTGTGGTTGAGCAGCCGAGTACCTAAGCCACTAGGCCATCGCAACAGCAGCCTACAATTCCTCGAATGCATCTCGAATATTTCTGTTCCAAAATCACTCAAACGATCGCCAGCGCTGATCGTCGTCCCAGCGACTCTTTTCAAAACAGTGCATGAACAGCGCCATCAGTCGATTTTTCAAGATTAACCGTCAACACTACACGGCTCACACGAAACGCTTGAAACATCAAAACTTCTTGGTCGAGTTCACCACTCGCCCTGCCCTCTGTCCCCTCCCCCTTGAATCCTTCCCAGTTTCACAAATATATTAAATGATTGTTCGGAGCGCAGCACGAACCACAGCGACAGCTATATAAGGAAAAGGAATTCGTCTCGGCGGTTCGCAGCCCAACTATGATGTCTCGAATTCTCCCGATATGCGCAGGCATTAGTCTGTCGCGTGGCATGCGACAGACTAACGCCAAGATATAAACAATTTAACAGCCAAGATATAAACAATTTGTATCTTACACCATGCTAGAGGGTAAGGGCATGTCCTGGGCGCCTTTTGATACTTTTGTTTTTCGTTGCAAGCGCCTGTTCAGGGAGAATGGTTACTGCGGTCGCTTGATCCTATCGTCTGGATGCGGCAAAGCTCGTCTGCGTTAGCGCTTGTTTGTGAGGGAGAAAAAAGGCTCTATTACGAATTTTACGATTCCCGACAATGTATGTCGCAGAGGAATACGTGGTCATGGGCCCGCCGCAATGCGTCGGCGCCTCAGTGCGTGAAGGAGCGCCCATGATTACTGTGATACGAACTCTGAATCCCACCGAATTGCGTTGCAGACTGTTATCAGCGTGTGGGAGCTTCGGAGGCGGGCCACATGGCGCCGCCTGCGTCGCTAGAATGACTGAATCCAATTATGTGCATTTTTCAACAGGTTACGGTACTAGAGGCGACATAGTCTTTCAAGTGCTTCATATCAGTCAGCTAATCATGTTTTAAAGTTTTCTTCCTTTCCGCAAACGATCATTCAGTGAAATGCCCCAGTTGAAACTGACAGCATAGTAATGTTTGACTCAATGCTTGCCAGTTGATTATGCAAAGTTCCTTTCTTTATATTTCATGCCTTTTGCTTTGCTTGAGCGAGTTGTTTTTGTTTCAAAAGTTTATTATGTGTTATTCATGATTGTAACCGCAATCTGAAACGACTTCACCAGAAGTTGGCAGTATTGTCAAATAAATGAATAAATAAATTTATACAGACTGTCCTCATAAGTGAACAAAATATGATTTCCTAAGTCAGAAATTTTTATTTATGCGGCACATATTCACAGTACTATAATTGTTCGAGTCACTGTAATCTGTGCCATACAGTAACATGAAATGGCAGGCTCAAAGAATGGGTACCGTCACCAAGTAGACTGCACTGAAGTGTTTGCAACATAAAGATTTGGGCAGGTTGGTGATGCATGATGGACGAAAGGACAACCACCGAAACTAGGACTTACATGCTTATTTATTTTGGTTCATCATGAAGTGCTTCCACAGGTGACAGCACAACCAAGTTTGGCAAAACAATTTTGCCAGTCCTGCTTGTTTCTCTCTTACATTTTTCTCATGAGAAAGCACAAAAACTGAATTTGCAAGTCGTAACAGCTGTTAAGCACTATTATTAGCAATATCAGTGTAAGTGCATGTGAATTCCAACTCACCTCCAAACTCACAAAAGTGGTTCCCTATGTCCAGTGCCTGGTAGTTGTTGTCAGCATACTCAAAGTCAATGAAGATCACTCTGCCTGTAACAGAAATACAACTGTTGAAGCACTTCTAAACCACCTCCCTGACACTTTTTTCCCACATTTCAAGTAGGCATGCAAATTGAGTTCACAATGAGGCCACAATCGGATATACTGAATGTAACAGCACCTCATACTACAAGAATGCCATAAGATTAAGATCAAGCCAGTCAGTGGTCTTCCCTGCTTTTTCAGTGTGTCCCCTCCTAAAGCTCATGACATCAGCTGGTGCACCTAGTGATGTCACTAGGAATAGTCACTGCTTATTGGTCAAACAAGACTTTTCCTTTACATTGTGCTTTGTTTTGCGTCCTTTGGTATTCTGCGGCCAACAAAAAGGAAACAAGCACAGCACAATACACGCGATCCTCACAGCTATTTATCACAGCAACCAGAACACGAAGAAAGTGTGGAAAAAACAAAACCACCAAAAAAGTCAATACAGAATTACCCTGTTTCTCTTGGTAGATGATGTTCTTGACGAGCAGGTCATTGTGGCAGAACACGACAGGCGAACCCAAGCCCGACAGGTGCTCTTCAAGTAGCGACACTTCCAGTTCCAACTCTGCTTTGCTCGGGATGCACGACACAAACCTGTGTGAACACATGCCAGTTGAGGCTTGAGCCCGTGAATTGTCACAGAAGCATTGTGACGTTTGAAAATAGTTCAATATAAAGAATAATTAAGTTTGACCGCGTTCAATATTGATAATACCATATTTTGCGCTTCCTCCTTCTCTTCTTCAGTTGGGTTCAACTGTATCATATATGATGCACACTGAACAATCTTACCGTCACAAAGAAAAGCATGAGCACACAGCTAGAACGCATTTCTTTTTCCCACAATCTTGTTGAAGCGTGAAGTTTTTCTTCTAAGTCGTGGTAGTGCAAAAAGTTTCGTATCCATCAAGAACGAACAGGGATTTTCTTGCACACTTTTTCTCATCACTTGTTCTTAGTAGAAGCTACACAGGGAGGCATGGCAGAGAGGTTAGAGCATGTGATGAAACCCAACTGCTCTCCCATTGCAATTCCTTCATGCTCGAGAGTGATTGATATGTGGGGTTTAACGTCCCAAAACCACCATTTGATTATGAGAGACGCCGTAGTGGAGGGCTTCGGAAATTTTGACCACCTGGGGTTCTTTAACGTGCACCCAAATCTGAGTACACCGGCCTACAACATTTCCGCCTCCATCGGAAATGCAGCCGCCACAGCCAGGATTCGAACCCGCGACCTGCGGGTCAGCAGCCGAGTACCTTAGCCACTAGACCACCGTGGCGGGGCCATGCTCGAGAGTGGCTACAGTAGAATGTTCGCAGACTACTGTGCGTGGCACCAGCACACGGCAGCACCATGAGGCCGGAAGCACATCTGACCCAAATGCTGCTTTTGATTTGTGTCAGCTATTAGCCAATAGCATGCTGTTCGACATCAAACAGCAGGCACTCCGAAAAAAGTGAGCACTGATATTTGTTCCAAAAGAGGGTACCTGAGAAAACAGCAACTTCGCTCTTTGCTTTTTGGTATCCACTACTACAAGATTTGGCTGAATACATGGGCACAGTAATGTATGCTTTCTTTAGGATGTTTTCTCAACGAGTCCAAGGTGTGGTAAATAATTCCTCTTACTTGAATTTTCGCCTGCATTCAAATCAGATCAGATCAAATCAAATTTATTTCAACATTCAAAGTTGAGGACCATGCACTAAAAGCCGGCAAGGCTTGACGAGGTCCATGGCCACAATTTTCTAAGCAGAAACAATAAATGAAAACAGCAGTTCAACCCTAAAACAGAAATTATAGGCTGGTGATGCAACTCATAAAATACGTTGTGCAAACCTATATATTGTACTCCCCATTGGTAAACAATGAAAATCTTAGAAGCAAGCAAGGCACATAAAAAACATAACCAAAACGGAAAAAAAGATACAAAAATGTGTACTACATAAGTTTTTTGGGATGCAAAAGATGAAAAAAAATCCCTAATACACAAAAACATTTCACTCCAGTAACAATACAAAAGTTGATCGGCAGAATTCATAGAAGAAGTAGAAACAAACTTTTTATACAAAAATATATACCGCATTATAAGTGCTGCCACATAGATGTTTGCAGAGGCACATACGGTTACTCTATCACACAATATCATGAAATGATACATAATGTTTTTTCTGTTTAAATGGTATGGCAGTTTATAACGTAACATTTGGTTCACTTCATTCGATTAACAAATTATTTCTACATGTTGTGCTTCTTAGCTTTTTGAACTAAGTAGCTTTCCTTTCTTTCGTATAGGGTTCTTTGCAGCTTCATGCTAAAGTAGGGGCCATAAAGTATGGCTGGCTATGACTTCATTGTTTAAGACCCCTTGGCACTTCCTTGGCACAGAGCACAGGTCAAGTAACAACTAACAACTATGACTTCTCATGATTTCAAGACTCAACCTTCTTCTAATACAGACTGCAGAAGACCATTGCAATCAACTGTTACATATATTCATAGGGAACTGGAAACTCGAGCTGTTTGTATTGTTCAATTTCGTGTAAACGAGGGAACTTCTCACCGATTATTAGTAGCAATTGTTAGCTTTAAGATATAAGTACACCTCGTTTTAAGGCAAACGTAAGTGCACATCTGAGTTGGCAGCATATCATGCACCTGAAGGACTCATGCTGAAGAGTTGTGTCAACTGCAATGTCCTGGTGCCGTATAGCTCTCACTGATTGGTGCCTTGCCTACAATATCCCCTGACAGTTTCCTTCTCTTCTTTATCTATTCTTTTTACTTTTTTTTCAGTGCTCCCCTCCTCAAAAAGTTAAGCTACGTCATCACATTCGGCAGACAGAAATTAGCTCCTTTCCTTCAAGAACCGCTCACACATACATCATCACATTGACAATAGCACGACAACAATAGGGGATTCTCTCTGACAGTACGAGGACACAAAATAGTGACAAAGGCCAGCTAATGCAAAACCTGCAAGGTTGAGTAGGCACCAAACTCCACATTTAAATGCTATCGAAACACAGATTCACAAACTAATGCATTTTGTCCATGTTGCAGCAATGTACGTTGCAAAAAGAGCCCACCTGTCAATGAAGAAATGGCAAGAGCACCTTCAAACTTTGCTACTTACAATAAACATACACTTAGGTGCAGCAGATTCAGAACAGATCTAGTTGCAGGAGTAAAAACAAGCAATACAGTATCAAGCATCTGCAAGCATGCAGGAAAAGAAGAACATAAAATATAGACATGCATTAAAAAATTACATAACAAATATAGACAAGCCATGCATGTTTCAATGCAATGGAAGCATGTGTAAAGTGAGGAAGCAGTATTAATATTCGCACTTCAAATCCAGTCAACAGGAAACTGCATCATCAGTTATGCCACACCAACTGCTGAGTGGATTGGTGAATGAGGCGAGTGACAGCACCTGGTGCCCGTGAATAAATTTCTGCAAAATGAGTTGCATAACAAGTTCACAGTTGCAGTGGGGGCTTATAAGCAGCTGCTTGGTAGAAAACAGTGAGGCTGAAGATGTGCAGGAGGAGCAAGCCAGAGCGAGAATCAAGCTGACCAGGCTGAAAAGTGGCAATCACATTAGCAAGATTCAACAAGAAAGCCAGATGGCTTCCATGTATCCAGCAACTAATACTCGCCTCTCGCTAAATCCATCAGGACAGGCACACAGCAGGGTGGCCCCCATATTCAGTGCCATTCACAGAGAAAGATCAAAAGAACAGAAAATGTGTTGTAACCAAACATGATCCAAACAAAACAGAGGAGAAATGAAAAGGATGAAATAATAGTTACATGCCATAACATGCAACTCATGAAGAAAATGACTTTTACACTTTTGAAATCAATGTGCGATGTCTTGCATTATCTGAAGCTAATCTCAGTAAAGCACTGCATTACAAATGCAATTTACTTTGCCTCTGTGAATGCTGTGCGTTAAACATCTTTTTGTGAACCATTTGGATTGTCTGCACTGACTGTGGCTCACTCAAAACACTACAACAAATTTATTTATTTATTTATGAGAATACTGCCAGTCTGAATGCCAGACTTTGGGCAGGAGTAGGCAGTACAATCAACACAACAATATGCAGGAAGTACAAAAAAATATTGAGTAGATTATACAGCAGCACAAATATTGCGTAGAAAAAGAAAAGGAACATGTTTATTCACATAGAAAGAAAACAGAAAATGCAGGCCACAAATGTTGTGCCTTACAGAGCAATATCAAAAACTGCGTGAAAGCAGTGCTTGGCAGATCTCGCTGTGCACAAAAAAAGAGAAAAAAAGGAAAAAAGGGCTAGTACAAGTATAATCGGTAACACTGCAAAAAGTACATCCGGGCATGTTAGTTGCAAGCGTGGCAAATTGGTGAGACAAACATTTTGTCAAAGACTAAGATGGGCACAAGAAGAATCGCACTGTAAAGAAAATGGGAGTTGGAATACCTGACTTAGACATTAGAGAAACTCCTGTTTTAGTGGGATGAACTCAGTGAAGATGAAAGGGGTACAGTGAGAGTTGCAAAGATGCTTGCTGCCTACCTGAGGTTTTTTTCAATGTCGTCGAAATGCGTAGGCACCAGGCGAAGGTACTTGTGCAGGGTGGGGAACAGAGAGGGCGCCACCTGTCCCCCCTTGTGTAACTTCACAGAGTGCATGCGTGCTAGTGTCTGTGCTATCAGCCTGCAATCAAACACAAACTGCACTCCTCAGGTCTGGGTTCATTCTGAAGAACAAAAGATACCTTCAAGAAGCAATAACATTATGGTAAATTGTCCCACATTATCACAAAGTAAGCTTTTACTGCCTCCCTGCATTTGGTCTTGACTTGTTTGATAAAAGTTACACTTTGAAAAACAAAAAAACAAGAGCAAACAGCCTAATGATGGCATTCAGAGGCCAACACCACATATAAATATTCTTCGTTGAAAAAAAATCAGGAAATTTCGTTACCTTTCTTGCCATCTACGTAATTGTGCCTGTTGAGGGTGCTTAAAATCCAACTGCACTGAAATTTGACTAGAGGAGAATTGGCTCGAAATGCATAGCATAAGTTGGGTAAGCAATGATAACGACAGTAAAAAAGCTTGCAATCGTGGATATAATAATGGGTGCTCTAATTTTCAACTAGAAAATAACACAGAACCCCAGTGGTACGCCCGAGCAAATCGAACCCACTCGGATATGACGTCAATCGCAGCTCACTACCGCTCGTGAGTAGAACGCCCTGCAGCTGCATCCCATCATTTTCAGCGTGAGCCTCCTTACAATTGAATAATTCTGAATAGCTACTCATTTTGTTGTATGAAATGCGGTGCTATAGGCTGCTGGATAATATGTTCCAGCTGGGACCGGCTTTTAAGATTTCCGAACAACAAAGAGCTTCAAAAGCTGCCGGTTATCGGAGCGAAGTGAATGGAATTGGAGAACATGGCGCTTTACACGGCGCTCTTCAGAGATGACAAAATATGAATGCACCCATTGTCTCTTCACCCAAATAGTGCTGAAACAGAAAAGAATGTTTAATCCTGATGCAGTGCCTCCAATATTCAGCCACTGCAAACACAACAGTGGTATTTGTAGAAAACAGGTTTAGTATAGTGCAAAATGCTTGTGTTAGCGTGTTTCGCTCACTGAATTTATAGCGTAACGCCATTCCAAAAACTAAACCAATGAAACGAAGCCCCCCGATGTGCTGGACTACCTGCACCATCTAGCTGCATTAGCTGCACCAACCAAAGCTCCAAAAGCTTATCGGCTCACTTCTAGTAGTGCTTGTCAAAGCAGAGAAGTTCAACAGAAATGTAATCATGCTTTGTCCAAAGCAACTTAAGCACATAAACATATTAAAAAAAAATTAATGGTGCTGCCTTTGATCCATAGTAATAGTTCTGGGTGCAGTCACCAAAGTGTTTACAGAAATCCAGGGACACTTTTGGCAGACATGGAAGTGTGCCATACCAAGCATAGGAATTGAAAACAACGCCGCCATAGCATCCACGTCTATTAACAAAGCGAAAATATCTGAAGCGTAACCCTGCAGCGTGAGTTACTGTGAGCCAGCGAGTTCTTCAAGAAAGCAGGACAAGACGGTATGGTAGGCACGAAGCCGGCAGTCGTTATTTAGAGACACACTTTAATCAACACTTATGAATATGTATTCTTTGCGGCGCATGCTTACATGGTTTGCTTTTCGTTACCATCTAAAGGGACAACTCTGCGACACAGCCACGAAGTGTATACTTCAGAGCAAAGAGCAGATGATTCGTCTTCATCAATCGGTTTGTTGGGTGTCTGTACATCAATTACGGCCTATTGTAACAATGTCGTTTTTAATACGACGGTGTTAAAGAGCTCCTTTCGCAATAAATTCTGGTGTTGCGTTCGACGTCGGCGTCGGCATTGTTGGTTGTGAGCGAATCATCTTGTGCGTGAACAAAAAATCAAGAAATATGCAAAACAACAAACTAAATATTTTCGGATTCGAGTCAAGATCGTACCCAGGCGGTTTGAATGGCAATCAAGTGTTCTACCACACAGCCGTGCCTCTGCTTGGAAATACAGTGAAAATAACTTTCTCCGCTTAGAAGCCAATGAAAATGACTTTCGTGTTTTACAAATACACGCGTCCTGTATACGGGCTTCACACTACAATGTGTTATACTATCGCAGCAATATTGCGCAGGATAAATGTACATTGCCACAGAATGTCAGAACATGTTTATCATGACAACTCCATCGTTTGAAGCAGGCCACTCATAGAGGAAGGCACACACCTTACTGTGCATACTTTGTTAAGACAACATATCAAGTTCGGAAAGATTTCACGTGCATAACTGCTGCTAGTTTAAAGCGTACTACCATTACACAAAATGACGCTATATGTCAATGTTTCAATGACACAAGCCACTTAAATTTATCGATGACACAATAAAACTTCCTCTTTAGCTAGTTGGTGTTGCATGATGATGATGATTTATAGTGTTTTGTGGTGCAAGGGCCATTTAATGGCCAAGAGCACCAGTTCATGGGACTAAAGATGAGGACAATAATTGTGATAAGTAGCTCTACAAGGCCTTAACATTCCTTACGCTAAGGCGGATAAAAACATAGAAGTAATTAAATCATGACCATGTCATGAAATTAGTGTAGAGTCAATGGATGACGAAAGTTTGTGATAATAAAAAAACCATGGTGGACATGTATGGCATTAGCACAAGTGCCTCGATCGTCCATGCCCCTGCGTCCAAGGGCAGTGAGGCAAGTGCTTTGTTCAGAGTAGCCACCGCAGCGGAGACCTCTCTGGAGAGGTTGTACTACGGAATGCCCGGGCATATGACATAAAAGGTACGAACTTCTCTCAAAAAAGCCAACACTGATTTATATGTTAAAAGTGGTTCCCTACCGACGAACACTGTAGGGTGAAGTGGTATCTGTTGACGGTAGGGTAATGGAAAGTGTTGTCTTCTCAGGGTGTCTAACAGTTTACACTGGATTAGTATGTGAAGTACGGTAAGTGCTTCTCTACATCTGTCACACAAAGGTGGATTGCCACCAGACAAAAGAAATGAATGGGTTGTGTGTGTATGTACTGTTTTTAACCTTGTAAGTATTACTTCCATGTGGTACAATTCTAATACTGGTGGCCAATGACCAAGTTGCGGCTTGATAACATGCAGTTTATTACCTGTGTGTGTGCCTAACGTGCTCTGCCAATAACCCCTGAGCTTTCATTTTAGAAAAGGCTTGAAGTCAAGTGCAGGAATCGGTATCAATGTATTGTTAGCGGTTTTGTTAGCCGATCCAGCTAGCTGGTCCACCAAAACGGTGCCCAGTATTTCGCAATGACCTAGCAAACATGCTGTTTGGATGAGTAGACTGTGCATAAAAGTGAGTAAAGTGAGACAAGGACGTGGTTTTTGTGCTTATTAAGAATTTTCAGAGCTTTTACCAGCTTCGAGAATCTGTGTATGATATTGCCTTCTGTAGTTTTATTTGTTTAATGTGTTTAACGGCTGCAGGTATCGCATAAACTTCGCCGGTGAAAATGCTTGTGTCACAGTGCAGAACGCCGAATCCCGAAAAGGATGGGCTGATGGCTGCGTACAAGACAGAAGTGTTGGACTTTGAAGCATCCATAAAGAACTCGGGACATGTGTATTTCAGTTGTAGTTCTAGGAAGTATGTCTGAATATGTGCAAATGGTGTGTGCTTTCTAACCTTTAAGAAAGACACATCGCAATCTATCGCCTGCCACTGCTACGGAGGCAGGCACACTGCGGAAGCCATCAAACGGTGTTCAAGTGGCACACCAGTTTCCTTCGCCAGAACCCTCACACGCAGTGAGTATGGCTGTCTCATAGCAGGCCATTTTTTAAACACAACAGAACTTCAGATGTCATTAATTTTAGAATGCGAAGAGTGTTCCTTGTCTGCGTTCACTTTAAGATAATATTTAAAACACAAATAACATCTCTGTAGATGGAGCAACCATCCGTTTGATTTCACGTACAGGTTTTCACAAGGCTAGTGGGAAGAGCACCCGAAGAGAGGCAGATGCCTAGATGATGTACAGGACCAACCATTTTAAGGGCAGTAAGTGTGGCAGACTGATGATATGCTAGTGCCGATAGTCTAGGCGAGTATGTATGAGGCTTTTGTACAAATTCATCAAACACTTCTTGTCACTTTCTCATGTAGTGCAAGACATCACTTTTAGAACGTTCATGGCTTTTATGCACTTCTTTTTCGAATACTTGATGTGTGGTATGAAGGTTAGCTTGGTATCCAAGATTAGGCCTAAGAATTTTTATGCAGTATTAACAGAAAGACGTTGCCCATGCAGTTGAATATCGGGTTCGAAATGAATGCCTCTCTTCCTGGAGAACAAGACGTGCCTTTCTGCGCATTCAGTCGGATCCTGTTTTCTTCTGCCCAATTGGAGACTTTGTTCAACCAAGGTGAACCTGCCGCTCACACATGGCCAGATTACAAGACTTAAAACCAAGCTGGACGTCGTCGACATATGTGCAGTAAAACATATTTTGAGGGATGAACAAGCGCAAAGAATTCATTTCGATAATAAATAGTGTGCAACTAAGTGACCACCTTGCGGCACTCCTGCTTCTTGTAGAAATGTTTGGGAAAGAATGCTGCCCACTCGGACACAGAATGTCCAATGTGACAAGTCCCTTTCGATTATAGCAAACATTCTGCGCCGCATGCCAAGGTGGGCCAGGTCTCTTAATATTCCAAATTGTCATGTCGTACCGTGAGCCTTTTGGATATCGCGGGAATACAGAAAGAAAAGTATTGTTTGTGAACGAAGGTGTCACTGATCTGTACCTCAATACGAACAATGTGGTCGGTGGTGTATCTACGCTCTCAAAACCCGCACTGGAATTGGTCGAGCAAACTGTTTGTTTGAAGGAAATGTACAAGTCGATAGTTTATCATTTTCTCGAAAAGTTTGCACAGGCAGCTTCTAAGTGCAATAGGGCTATAACTCGAAACTGAAGAAGGGTCCTTCCTCTGTTTAAAAATGGGAGTAATAACAACCTCTTTCAAGGAAGTAGAGATAGCACCAGAAAACCAGATAGTATTGTACAGCAAGGTAAGGTTTTGGCGTTTCGATTGGTAGGTTTCCAACATTTTGTACACCGCACGATCAAAACCAGGGGCGG